GGGGGGGAGAAAAAGGGCCGGTAAATTCTACAATGTAGGATAAAATTCCACTTTGAAATTATCTGCACTCGTCGTTCATAAGTGAGCTCGCTATTGATGCGAAGATCACGCACCGTACCGGCACCGTTCATTTGTTAGTTCAGTCAAGATGTTCAACATAGTGTGAAGTCATGTGCACGTACTTCCAAGACTCGACTGTACCGACACGGAGAATGTGCACTCGATGCCTCGACCATTTGTCACGCTTGGTTTACTTTCCTCAAAAGCAAATCCGCTATCAGCGCTTTCTGTGGGATGTCCTAATATTTTATTGATGCAAGTGTTGCGAGCAACTCTTCTAGTACATCTACTGTTGTAGGCGTTGGTTGCGACAGTGCGACCCTTTTGCGACGCTCGTTTATAAAAAAGGAAGACGACAAGAAAGAAGAGGGGGGAAAAATCTAATTCACATTTTAGTAGTCACCCCGTTCGTCCCATTTCAAACTAAGTGTAGACCTATCTATAGTTGAACATTTGAACATAAACACGGATGTAACAACTGTACCGGGAATTTTATCAGCTCTCTTGAAAATGAAAAAACTACAAAAAAAACACAACAGTCCGGGAGAACACAGAATCACCGCTATGATGCTTAAGGCAAGTATAGAAGGTTATAAGATATTACGATTGTTATTTGATACAGTTCTTGAAAAAGAATACACACCCGTACATATACAACAGCAACACACAAAACAATACATCGTGTACTGACTGACTAGATGCATTATCTAAAAACAGAAATAGCATTAGCTGAATGAATAAAAGGATTTTATCTTTCTTGAACTACTTGTCAAAGCTTTCCAGATATTGAGGCCATGCTATTCAAATGCCGTTTCACCCATTATTTTAACTTTCACAGATGGCCAAAGTACTTTCTTTTTGTCTGCAGTTGACTACAAGTTCGAACGTACAGTTTCAACCTCGTATATAACGGCGCATTATCATTCAAGGATTTGTGAAATAGAGTGGTCAACTTGTACGTAATAATTTAGTTATTTTCTCAACAGGAAGCTGATGTAGTGTTCGTAAAAAGAGATGAAGCAGAATTGTTGCTTTCTTTTCTGTAAAACTAATCGTGCAGCATTGTTTTGAAGTAAGTTTGAAGTCTTCTCTTTTCTTCAGAGATATTCCCGGTAGCGAAGAGATAAATAACCGTCTTGACAAGACTAAGCTATTTGCTAGAAAAGCAGTTACTTATAGGTCGTTAAGCCACAGTTACCCACGGTTAGAAAAATCCTGCTCACTCAGTTCTCAATATTTCGATTTGAAATTTTGCAAAATAAAGTGAAATGACCTGGACGTTAC